AGAAATATATCTTCGAATCGCACGCTGGAGCATTCATTGTTCAGATTTGATGTATGCGTGTATGTATGTTGGATTTATCTTTGTATCTGGATGTAAAGATCGATATTAGCCTCCTAAATCCTTAAATTGTCGGAGCTTTCCGGATATTCGCCTTCTGGACCTTCACCTAGTTAATAGTTAATAAAACACTCGTTATTACGAGTGTAACCTCGCGTTATATAGGCCTAACACCGGAATTATGCAAATTTGAGTTTTAAAAACGGTTACAATCACTACAATAAATATATAATCTCTATTTTTTCTAATTTCATAAGTGATATCTGTTGCAAGAACAATATTGTACAGTCTGGTTCTAACTGTTTGTGTAGAAGTGTTTGGTGTTCGCTTTGCAGGACAATCCATCGGAATCGCATATGCTGTCATAGGAGTAGGATCGTTATCATCAACGTTTGTGTCAGGTATATATGAATATTGCATATTATCATACAGTAAATCTATAGGTCTATATACTGAAACTCTGTAATATGATCGTTTGGTAAAAAAAAACATGTTGGACGATTATTTCTACATTTTTTCTGTTGTTAATAGTTAGAGTTAACTTTAACTTCCCACTCATGAGTAGCCATTCTTCATCCATCTGGTAGAATTTGCTTGATCTGTATCATTTTGTCTTGTCTTTTTGCCGACCTTCATTATAGATTTTGACGACAAGTGGACCGGTACTTCGCTCATTCCTTTACAGTTTCTACCAACCATTTAAATTCATCTTTGTTTTACAAATATTTCAATCTGTTGCTATATTTGATATCCTTTCTTCCCAGTGCCTGCGAAAAAATAAACGATTCTTCATTTTATTCAATTTATCAGATGTGATGTACGTCAAGACAGGATCTTATCAAGAATCTCTCTACCTTTGTGTTGGACTATATTGCGTATCTGCCATAGTGACGTTCAGCGTAGTTCTTCTCACACGGTATCGTCATAAAAGTCACGTACTATTGTCGGATAAATGTGAAGAATCTTCTGATAAAAAAGAATCGTTTTTATAGTCAAAGTCTCCCGATTTATATGTTGTACGAGTGCAAAATAAGAACAAAAAAGTATTGAAGTTTATTCTTGTTTGAGTTGTCAAAGCTTTAAACGACAGGTTTCATGTGACTCAGGCTATCGCGCCCCACCCGGACCTCCTTGTTATTGTAATATTCTCAGACTTAAATATTTCATGACAGTCGCATAACAGGGCCCGCCCCCCCCCCCCCCAACCTTTTGGGAGGTAGAAAAAAAAAAAGAAAGAAAGAAAAAGAAAAAAATGATCGCCCAGAACGCCTCAAATGTTATTTTCAGGCGTCTAGAACACAAAAATTTCAAGGGGCATGCCCCGGACCCCCTAGGATGGTGATGTCTCGTCGGCCCAACTTTCGGCCCTTCCCCCCCCCCCTTTTTTTGACATCTCTGGATACGCCCCTGTTTGTAATGGATATCAATAAAAGAGATCAATTTTATTTTCTAAAGCAATTTTCTATACCGTATAAACAACATTGTGCCTGCCTCCATTGTACGTTACAAAAAAATGGTTACATTCGCCTATCTCAGTAAAAATTCAGTAATAAAAGCATACCGTCAAACCTCGAATTAAAGCCTTTGGTTTATTTTATTATTTTCATTTATTCATTAAATTTCTTTTGCGAAGTTCGGGTGGGCTTCTTTTCGAGGCTACTTTTGCAAGGTAAAGAGATGGACTTCTTTTCAAAATGAATACTGTAAATATTGGCAAATTACTACTATAAAACAATAAATAAGGCCACTGTGACCTGTGTCATGAGTGTAAAAAAAAATCACATAAACTACTGTATAAACCAAGCA